GTATTTTGGAAGAGTCTTGATTTGATTACCACGGCAAACAGTGAGTCAATTGGTCATGTGCAGTGCAGAATCTGCAAACATATCCTTGCACATGACAGCAAAAAATGCACGCAATAGGCCAAAGCCTGCAGCAAAGCCCCAGCAAAAGTAATTACCTTGAATGTGTCGGGGGAAATAGTAAGGAGATATTTGAATTATTTATTAATAAATGAGTGTTTTCTGAGTCCGTGTCGCAAAGATGTCGCCGCCCAAGCCCCTCGCCCTGCCGGCGCCGCCCAAGCTTCATGCCCTGCCGGCTCCGCTCAAGCTTCATGCCCTGCCGGCTCCGCCCAAGCTCAAGCTTCATGCCCTGCCGGCTTCGCTCAAGCTTCATGCCCTGCCGGCTCCGCTCAAGCTCCAGCTGGAGACCCTGAGCTCCCTCCGTCAATGATGGACTGAGCTGAGGGAGTTTGCCATGGAGTTCAGGAATGTGGCAGAGGGACTGGGCTACAATGACTCCGCGCTTAAGGACTTATTCACTTATGCCCTTGATGAGCCCATTAGCCCCTGGAGCATGGCGGGATCCAAGCATGTATCCTTTGAGAGGTTTGTGGAGTTCGTGGCATGTTCCCCAGCTAAGGGGGCTGCAGTGCCTCCCATGATGGCCGAAGAGGTTGCCGTGAATGTGTCGGGGGGAAATAATGAGATATTTGAATTATTTATTAATAAATGAGTGTTTTCTGAGTCCGTGTCGCAAAGATGTCGCCGCCCAAGCTCCTCGCCCTGCCGGCGCCGCCGCTTAAGGACTTATTCAATTATGCCCTTGATGAGCCCATTAGCCCCTGGAGCATGGCGGGATCCAAGCATGTATCATTTGAGAGGTTTGTGGAGTTCGTGGCATGTTCCCCAGCTAAGGGGGCTGCAGTGCCTCCCATGATGGCCGAAGAGGTTGCCGCGCCCCCAGAGGCGGCCGATGAAGCGGCAGCACCCCCGGTGGTGGCCAAGGAGCCTGCAGTGCCCCCGGAGGCGGCCGACGAAGCGGCAGTGCCACCCTCTCGGAAACGGAGGAGGAAGAATGGGTCCGCCTCGCCACCCCTAGAGGCGGCCGATGAGGCTGCAGCGCCCCAGGTGGTGGTCGAAGAGGCTGCAGCGCCCCCAGAGGCGGCCGACGAAGCTGCAGCGCCCCCGGTGGTGGCTGAAGAGGCTCCAGCGCCCCCAGAGGCGGCCGATGAAGCTGCAGCGCCCCCGGTAGTGGCCAGAGAGGCTGCAGTGCCCCCAGAGGTGGCAGACGAAGCTGCAGTGCCACCGTCGCGGAAACTTACAGTATGCACTGTAACCGTTAATCTTTGAGACAAATCAGTTTTATACATCAAACTCAGCACTACACTAAAAACAGGTGTGGTTATGTTTAATGACTTTGTGAATTGAGTTTAATGTGTGTGATGAGTTTATGAATTTTTCTAATAAATATCTCTACTGTTTCTCTACATTCACGTTAATTCATTGTCATTTCCACAACACCCTGTCATTTCCATCACCACACACATTTTTAAAAAATATTAAAAAAGTTCTCATCACACATTAAAAATGTATCCACAATTTATGAGATCATGCTCTACTTAATATAAAAATTCAAGGTATTTATTTTCTAATAAGCTCTTACCCAAACCAATATTACATTTCATAGTGTGACAGGTGTACAGTTCAGCATTTGGTCCTTAGGGCAGTTAATTTATCTCATTGACAAATGTATAATTATTGTACATTGTGGAAAAACTGGCAAAACTAGTTACAAAAAAGATCGTAGACAATTCTTGAGTGGCATAAGTTATTCTATTTTTAAATAAAAGCTGTATATTGAGTATGTATGTATAAGTATATTTCCTACTACTTGTTTCACTTCTGTTTCAGTTTTTATAACCAACAAGTTTTTTTTATTCAACTTCACAAGGATAAAAGTGCCCCTAGTTGAAGAAACGCCCTTAATTATACGGATTTTATTAAATCCGTAAAAAGAGTTTTTGTTTTTTATTTGAATTATTGAGTTTTAAAGTAGTCTGATCAAACATGATAAACTCACTGTCTGCCGCTGGCCGCTTGGTCGTTACTTTAAAAAACAAAAACTTACATTTAACAACAAAAAAATGTTCCAAACGTTTTTCTAAATTAACTTAATAAAAACACGAAACGAAATATAATCACTTTGACATTACATACAAAACTGAATAGCTGAAACAGTAGTAGCCTATAAGCTGTTTTGGGAGAAGGGGGAAAAAAAAGACGGACTCGGGCCAAGAATTCTGATGAGCTGTCGGACACGGGCCGGGCTAGGGCCTATATCTGAGGCCCGTGCAGGACTCTAGTCTGATTTTCATTGGATTAGATGCCAAATTATCAAAACAAGTGGCATTTATTAAAAAAAACAGTACAAGCACAATTGTCAGGGGGGAAAAATGAAAAAATTGATAGGTTTTAAATTATTAAACAATAGATATATAGTTCAAAATTAAGACAGGATGTATTTGGACACTGTCTGGCTGTCAGACGTTGGTGGAACATGTTAATGTAATGAACTATACCTGTTGTTATTCTACTAGGGCACCTGTATGATCTTGAGGGGAAATTACTGTAAATTCATTTTAAAAAATCCCAGTAATTCAGAATATTTAATCTGGAACAGAATTGTCAGAAATTGGATTTTGGAACATTGGCTCACCCTAATCCAGATACAAACTTTTCCAGAATACCAGATCTGGATTACCAGTGATATTACCAGTGATATACATCACAATGTAGGCTACTATTCTATATAAAGACAATGCAATAAAATAATACAAACATCCCTGCATTGATGTTTGTAAGTAATGTTAAACATGCAGTAATATATTTTGTAATTTATAGTTAAAACTTTCATAAAACATGAAAATTGTCATGTCAGAAAGTGCAGATAATCTGTAGTATAACCAACACATTAATTGAGCTTCTTCTTCATAGACTGCTCAAAACAATCTGAAAGAGAAAAGGTTACTCATAAATTTCTTCCTGTTTGAACTTTATTCCATCCAGCACACCTACCTTCACTGTCATAAAATACTAAACTATTTTCCTCCTCCTCAGTCTGGCAGTGAAATTCAGTAGGTTTTTGTCTTTCTTTTCTTTTGTGTTTTAACTGTTTCTATCTGTGAACTGCTGTGTCTATGTTCCGTAAAATGGCAGAATCCAGTGTTTCTTTGGCTCAGGATCAGTTCAGCTGTCTGGATCTTCTGAAGGATCCAGCGGCCATTCCCTGTGGACACACTTACTGTATGTACTGTATGAACTATGGTTACAGGTGATATTCACTGTTATCACTTGAATATAAAAGGGGCGTGACATTGGTTATTCAGTCAGTGGCTAGAGTAATGTATATAATCTGTTGTGTGAAGGAAACAATTTGACAACATCGCCTGTTATTAAATATACTCATCAGTCCCAAACAATGACTGTGTGAACATAAATGTATTCAGAATTTAACAGAACAAACAACTGTCTGTAGCCATTAAGAAGCGTGTTGTTGTAAAAGGAGTTGAGCTGGTTATCACTATGCACCAAACATGGCAGCAAAGTGTTACACTGACACAAAATATTTGTATTACACATTTACACAGAATGTAGGTGTATGTGTGTCTGATGTTGTTCAAATGAATGTCAACTACTGATTATAATGAATCCCTTCTCTTTTCGCTCTGTTAGCACCTCCTACATTCAGTTCAGGGAAAAGTGAAACTTACTCCTACTTCCTGCATTTTCTTGTTGTGGGAATCAGCGTTCTTTGAATTTTAGGCTAGACTCTTTGTGGGTTACTATTTTGTGTATTAAAATGGCAGAATCCAGTGTTTCTTTGGCTCAGGATCAGTTCAGCTGTTCAATCTGTCTGGATCTACTGAAGGATCCAGTGGCGCTTACCTGTGGACACAGTTACTGTATGAGCTGTATTACAGGCTGCTGGGATCAGGATGATCAGAAGGGAGTCTACAGCTGCCCTCAGTGCAGACAGACCTTCACTCCAAGACCTGTTTTAGGTAAAAACACCATGCTGGCTGAAGTGCTGGAGAAACTCAAGAAGACAAAACTCCAAGCTGTTCATCCTGACCAGTGTTACGCTGGATCTGGAGATGTGGAGTGTGACGTGTGTACTGGGGACAAAAACAAAGCCATCAAGTCCTGTCTGGTGTGTCTGAACTCTTACTGTCAAAATCATCTTGAACAACATGAGACTTTCTTCAGAGGTAAGGGACACAATCTAATGGATGCCACTGGGCAACTGCAGGAGATGATCTGCCCTCAACATGAGAAACTGCTAGAGATCTTTTGTCGTAGTGAACAGAAATGTATTTGTTTGCTGTGTATGGTGGAGGAACACAAAAATCACAACACTATATCAGTTGCAGCAGAGAGGACTGAGAAACAGGTATGAAATAAAAATGCTTAAATTAATGTCAAATGCATGCAAAATATGTTTTATTATTACAGTGATATTCCCCACTCCGGTCCTGGGGACCCACTGCTCTGCTCTGCCCTCTATATGTCTT